GGATAGAGGAGGAGAGTTTGTGGGAAGTATGATCCAAGCAATGTTAGATCATTTTTCCATCAAGTCTCGAGTGACCACTTCCTACAAACCCAATGCTAATGGGTTGGCGGAGCGGACCAACTACACTCTTTGTATGATGTTGGTCAAGGATGCAGACATGGACGGGAGCAAGCAAAACTGGGACAAGAGGTTGCATGCTATCTTGTGGGAGTATCGAACGACTTGGAAAACATCTACCGGATATTCACCTTTTCGGATGGTGTATGGAGTTGAGTCAAAGCTCCAAATACAATTTGACTTGACTACTTTCATGACAATCCAGCAAAGGTTGAAAAAATCAAATGGAGCAAAAGCCATCAAGTCTCGCCAACAACAATTGATGGAGTTGGAGGAAGCTCGAACACTAGTCATGGTACGAGTGGAGCGGGCTCAACAGTTGCAGAAGAAGTATCACGACAAACGAAGTGGAAACCAGAACTTGAAGCCATTCAAGGAAGTTGATTGGGTGATGCTCTTTGATGCAATTAGATACAAGAGAGCTAGGAAAAAGTTTCTTCCTAAGTATTTTGGACCTTTCATAGTTGAGAAGGTGTGGGGATAAACTTTACTTATGATATCAAGGAGTTAGGAGGACGTCACTTCGATCGAGTCAACCACGACAGGTTGAAATTATTCCATCGAAGACCAGATTTTTTCACTTCGAGGGCGTAGTGAAATCTTGGTCCGGGGGTAAATGTAAGACCAGATATTGCATGTGTGAAATAAAACTAGAATTAGCCAAGGAGTTAATCATGGTTAGGATAGTTATGACTAAATCTAGCTAGTTATGACTAAGTTTAGCTAGTTTAGCTATAATGTCTATACTTGGCGGAATAACTAGAGAAGTTCTAGAAGATTTGAGTGAGCACTTCTATTTTGTCTTGTACAAAAGTCTAGATTCCAAGAGAAAAGACTTTTGAACTTCATGTTTAGTTTTGATTGGTTTGACTAAAGTAAAGAGTATTCCATTGGTTAGACTAAGTCTAATGTTGACTTAGTGGAAAGTGGAAGTTCTAGAAGTTGGAAAGGCACAAATGGCATGTCGCCACCTCAATCTAGGGATTAGTAAACATCTAGAAGATTTAGGGGGCCAATGGCATGTTGCCACATATTGATAACTAGTCAACCTTACTATGGTTTATCTTCGTAAAAGTAAGTTAGATAGAAATTACCATTTGTTACTATGGTAAATTCTCAAGTAGTATATATAGAGAGGTAGGAAAGAGCCTCTCAAGCAAGTTTGGAGAGTTCATATGTAGAGACTTGTTTCATATATGAAAGAGTGACGAATTTTCAGTACCTTGGAGTGTCGATGAGTGTATGAGTTGGAGTGATACCTTGAGAGATTGTGTGAGAGGGTGTTTAGGTTATGAGTATGATGCGGAATCCTAGTCTTCTAGAATCATGATGAGCTACCGAAAAGCCATATGAGGTAAACTTGAGTGAAGGTCAGCCCGAAGGTTGCAGAACACGTACAAGGCTTCTGCTTTACTCATATCCATGATAGATACTTGAAGATCACAAAATTCTTCAATGTACTCATGAATACCTCCTTTTTGCTTCAGTTCTCACAACTTCATTCTTGCAGTTTGAAGAGAGTCCACTGCTTGAAAGTTTTGCAAAAGACATTCCTGCATTCCACTCCACGAAATTATAGCACCTCTTTTTGAAAGCAATCTCTCCCAGGTTATGTACCATGTGAGAGCTTTATCCGTAAGATAAGATCTCATGAACATTCCTGCAATATAATTAGAAACATGAAAATATCATTAATGAATATTCATCCTCATAATCCATACCTCTAACACTCCCATTGCTTCATTGGGAAAAAGTTTTTGATCTGGATCTCGGTCAACATTTCCCAAGTGTACTCCTTCAGATGCTTTCTCTTGTACTCTTTGTACCACTTGAGAGCTGAATACTCCAAAAAATCCATCAAAAGCATAGTCCACTCGTCCTTTTTCTTCTCTTTGTTTCCTATACAAGCCCTCTTGAAATCCCTAACAAAAGATTCTACATCTTTATTCTCCCTCCCATGAAACAACCTAAGTTTTTCTATTTCTAACTTTTTTTTCTATTTGAAATTTATATGAAACTTCCTAAACAACCCAAATGACACTAACTCTATCCTTGAGTAATTCATCAAAGGTAACACATATTTTGATTGTTTCAAAATAGCCATAGCTCTCTTCTCCCTTACATATACGAAAAGTCTTATCCTTATCATCATCTTCTTTATCATCCGAAAAATGATATTCATCTTCATTTGGAGCTTGAACAAGCCGAGATCACCTTCTTCACTTCAACACTTAATTTGTCTTCAAAACCTTTCACGATTCTAGAAACGTCTTCACTTTGCTTTATTTGTGTCGTGTCGATAGTCCAATCATTCTACAATTGTCACAGTAGATCACCTTTTGAGATTCATGTGGCGATGATGTTCTCAAAAGAAGTTTCAATTCTCCCAAGTTCTTTTTGCTCCTCAATCTTTTAACTTTGTTTCGCAGGAAACAATTGACAACCTTATGTTCCTCCTCTTCGCAATAAAAGCAAGTTTCACGTGTAATTCTTGGGGATTGTTTATTACTCTATATTCAAACTCCACCTTGAATTCTTTTCTATTGGAGTCTAAAAAAACTACAACATCCAAGCCTTGAGGCACTTTGGATTACCTAACCTTCCAACCCTTTTGTTCACTCATTTTTCCATAAGGTGAAAATCACTCAAAAGACCTCCTCCAAAAAACACTATGTACTTGACAAAAACTGCAAAAAAGTAAATATCAAAGTTTTGCACTCTTTTCCTCGTTTTGTACCTTCTAAAATTCAAAATAACATAACATTGTCTCTAGATGTGATCTCTCATTAAAATAGCACGTAGCTTATCTTCCAATGCACACTCATACAAATTTTCTTAAAATAAAAAAAATTGAATCTACTCTGAACAAATTTTTCCAAAAGCAAATGTTTAGTATCCGTGAAAACCACTTTAACTTCTAATACTCATATCTTTCTGTTAACATATGAACTAGAACTGAAAGAAGAAAAAAAAATATTTCACCTTTCACTCTACAATAAATAAAAACTTGAAAATAATACTTTCAATATTATATTTCTTTAGTCCCTAAGATCAATTTTATCTCAAAATGATGTGTTTATGTTAACAAAACATACAAAATCACTTCTAGGCTATCATATGAGACTACTGGATAGATAAAAGAAATTTCACTTTCAAACATGCTCCGCGTTCTTTCATACTTTAACGATAACTTCAAATGAAACTTCATAGACATTTCTCTTGAACTAGAAACCGAATCTTAAACATTATGACTTCTAGATTGAAGTCCCGACAATGGAACAAAAAATGCAACCTCTAGACTGATTTTCATTCAGATTTAACTTAGATGGTTTTGCAATAGCTCATTATGGGTCTAGAAGGCTATGATACCTTCTCATATTCATGTCTCAAACAACTTCTCACACATTTTCTCAATACATCATTCAAATTCATTCACGTATCAACACTCCAAGATGCTAAAAACATCACTATTTTATATATGAAACAAGTTTCTACACATGAACTTTTCAAATTTGTTTGAAAGGTTGTACTTTATCTCTCTATTTTTACTACTTGAGAAGTTATCATAGTAATTATGGAAATTATTGTAACACATGGTAATTATTTCTCCACTTACTTTCACTAAGATAAACCTGGGTAGATTTGACTAACTCTCCATACATGTCATTGTCCTACCTAAAGCTTCTATAAATTTTTAAATTTTGAGTTTCAAATGACAACATGCCATTGGAGGTTTTTAAATTTTTAGAATCTTCAATGATATTTCATACACTAAGTCAAACCAATTAAATCTAATATTATATTCAAAAGTCTTTTCTCTTGAAATTTAAATTTTTGTAAAAGACAAAATAAAAATGTACACTATAATCTTTTAAAATTCATCAAATTATTTTACCAAGTTTAAACATTATAGTTAAATTTAGTCAAAGGTAAATAAACTTAGTTATAACAAATTAGATTTAGTTTAAACTTAGGTTAATCATATTTCATTCTTTGATTATTTTTAATACTATAACACAGGTACAATAAGGTGCCGAAATCAACAACAACTATGAAAGTGTGTTTGTTTGTGAGATCCAACCAAGACTTGTGTAAGCGGATAATATACATTGCATAATTTTGAGTATATGGAAGCAATTTGAATAGTATGGGTGGGCATGGATGTACACATGTTACTACACGGGTCGCTGCCCGATGGTTATGGTATGGACACGGTACAAATTTGAAATAAATTGTTGTACTCTATATCCAAGTGAAGAAACATAATAACTTCAAAAAATTGTTCTTCAAAGTAATGAGAACTTGTTGCTTGACATACTAACTTGAAAAGATTGAGAGCTTGGAGAGCTTTATGTACATTTGGATAAGATATTGCAACAATACACAAAATGATATTTCACATGGAGAGAAAATTTCTATGTATGAGAAATTCTGGAACGAACTTGTTTCTGCTTGAGAAGAGATTATATATACATGTGTGACAATTAACTATTTTATATGTGATAGTCTTAGTGGATAATTAGTTATCTCCTTGTATTGATGACAAGTGAAACCAAAAAGCCAAGCTTTTGAAGTAGCAAGTCATGCAAAGAATATACAATGTTGTTGCCATAACTACTTATCTCGAAGTCCCCCTATAGATCACGATAGGATATTGCTCGTACATCATCGCAGCATATGACATGGATTTTTTTGGTAAATCCAAAATTGTTACCTTATGTTACATTTCAATTAAATGATACTAGTAATTATATCATTGTACTCCAAGTCAACAACGGGAAATAAACATGTGGACAAAGGATAACGCGAAAAGAAATACAAAAAACGAAACTTACGCCAACCATGAATTTAAGAAAAGGAGAGTGCAATTCTCTCATGACATAGCATGTATGCTCTGCTTGCGTTGTTTCATTCCTATGACAAAGGGCTACACGGTAGTAACTAAAATCGTAGATCAACCCTACTATCTCGTGGATAACATCGTACCTAGTAGAATCATTTCGACCAGTCGTTCATCAACATGCAGCATACATGCCACCGAGTACCTTACGATGTGCATCGTCCAACTCGTTAACTCAAATAGGCAGCTTAATACTTTGGGGATAGTCCACTCTGTACAAACGGATCAGATTGAGTAGTTCTTCAAATCTTGCCTGGGGCATATCGCCAGCTTAATCCTGAGTTCGCCACGAGACCATCTAACAAAAACTTACTGTCGGACACGGCTCCATGTTCGCCAAGGTGAGCGCAACAGGAAACAAGGAAAGCGAGGCCGGAAGTTTAGGAACGTGGATCTTAGACGAGGATCAGATTGAAACTGATATGGGACTACGCGTGAAACTCAGGAAAGAAAAGTTCGGCTCCGTAAAGATATGACGGACGGGGCAACAAAGAGAAGACTTCCTCTATTTAGGGTTCTCGACTTACTTCCTCGTTTATATATGAAGTCCCTCGAACTCTCAGCATGTACAGCTAAGCATTAAGTGCAATGCCAAACCACTGAATCTTCGTGAGGCCAATGCATCTGACATTCCTACCAGGTTCCAGTTTTCCTACGGAGTCTGCTATGTAAAGTTCTCTCAACATCCTGACAACGCGTGAGTATTATTGACTCTGACGCTCACGCGAAATGATCCTTCTGTGATGGAACTCTTCCACAGGAGGTAGGCCATAAACATCAACTTCTGGCGATCTCTTGACCTCATGTACTTAAGTCAACATTCTACTCTACGGATCAAGACCGGAACCTTCAATAAAGACCTTCCACCACGGGATGAACTTGCACTGTTGGTGAAAAATAATAAAAGTGAATCTAGCCATATGGATGCAAAATTGATCCATGAGATGTTTGCACATAGATGAGAAACTTACAATAGTGTGCACAGCCCACAAATGGAAGCGCCCATGATCCTTCAGCAGATTTAAGATTGTTCTCACAAATGCCTAATTCAACAATGTTAAGCTTGCGACCAATTACATGTTTCTCCCAAGGAAAGCGCGGGGTAGCAGCTTCGCAGATCAACATAATCTCAACCTGACCTGATAAGAAGCTGAAATAGGAAAAGATCGGAATCGATCAAGTCTAAAATTTCATCACATTCAAACTCGCCTACAGAGATGCAGACATCAGCCCTTTGAGACTCCACAGCACGGAACTTTTAGAGAGTTAGCCCTCGTGCTTCGATCAGGGTACCAGAGTCAGATACACTGATACTCCCAGGTCGTGCAAAAGCAAATAAATCCGTGTTGATAATTTTAGAGTGGATTTGAATAGAGAATGACACTACGATGACATAAAATTCTGACAACAAGTTCATATTGAACAGTGACTTTGAACAGTGACAAGAAGAGGAAAATAGAACTCGTGATAAGAAATCACAAGAGAGCAGATTAAAATCTAGGCTGATACTGAAACTACATACCATATTGACAACAAGTTCATACAGAACTGTTACAAGACAAGGAAAAATAGAACACGTGGCACGTTGACGTGGCTTTACGTCGACGTCCAACACGTCGAAGTAAAGCCACATGTATGGGAAACAATTGCAAATTACTACTGAAATCTTTGGAAACTATTCACCTTTCAAAACACTCGATCCACCACTGGATAGTGGTGGTTGTATGCAAACACTCGAACTCTAGTCAATGCAGGAATGGTACTAACAGGCAATAAACTCACCACTGATTTTAGTTGGATTAAAGCACGTGGTGCCTCTTTATTTCAGTCAAGTGAACTTGACACCAACTTACCAGACCATGCCTGACTAGCTTTATCACAGCTTTGACAAGTGGAGCACATTATCTACGGAACCAATATTTTCAAGACCCTGAAGAAATCATTACAGATTTGATAACAAATAAGGTGGATAAAAAGATGAGGTGCTTCTAATTCTATACCCAATTTAAATAGGGTGGACAAACTGAGCCAGTAACTGGCAAACACATACAGTGGGCAGAAGCTCATGAGCCAAACACCTGGTGGAAGGTTTATGCAACTTGATTTGTAAAAGTTTCAAGTAATCCAACTCCCAACGCGAAAACTCTTGGGCAACTCCTCGCTCAACTTCAGCTCTTTTAGCATAGGTGCTCAAGAAAACCATGGTAAACCACCCCTTCTTCTGCCTCTTTTGCCATCCAAGGCCTGCCACCATAGCCCCAGTCATTATAAGTTCAAGATAGCCCACAAATGCAGAAGACAGTAAGCAGATGCATAATCCATACTAATTACTAACAACCAGAGAACTAGCAAACACCACTCTGAGAGGTGCTACAGTGCCCACAAGCTGACATGTGCGTAGAACGAAGCTGATAAAAACACGACTTACACAAGCAACTGAGAGATGCGTTGACGACAAACTTATTAAGTTGCAGTGTAACATGTGCCTCGGATCAGTATGTAGTAAGTTCATCCATTTATCTAGAGAAGCATCCTACTTCACTTGAAAACCATGTAGTGAATGGTACTGCTAGTTTTGGACCCGATGTCAAGTAGCTCTCTATGTAGTGGTTATACAATTGTCATAATAGCAATCGTTTGGTGGCCAAGAAAGGAAGGTGAACCATGCTCATGCATGTCGTCACTTGATTCGAAGGAGCGAATGTAGAGAATCCAAGTTGAATAATCTTACTGGCGAATGTACGTATATTGGCATATACGAACTACATTTCATTCCCCATGAACTAATTATTTGGATTCCTTGAACATTACGTTACGATACGGACAAAGCTCCATAGTTCAGAAGATTGGTTCGAGAGACTTAGATCCAAATTGGTTCAAGAAATATACTTAATTCGAAAGGATTTGATCCTCTCGAACCAAGAACGAAGCGGTATGGACCCTCCATTCGAAAGATAGGTTCATCTATAGTACTAATACTAACCATATGTTTACCAGGAAAGAACCAAGAAAACCATAAAGCAAAGAAAAACTTACAGTCTTTTGAAAATGTCTGAAGGTTAAAACTCCGACATCTCGTGTCCTGTTTCATCACGACACATGCATAAGATCCAAATCAGAAGACATCGAGTGGTATCAATAATTCCAAATGTCCAAAAGTAATTGAAGCTCCTAGACGTAGAAACTAGAGGTTCACGTCGCGAGTGATGACCACAAGAAGACATTATAGCCAACTTGACAAGCTAAAACTACAACTAGCTGCTGATACTTGGATACTCAAACAAGGTCCTCTACTGTCCATGAAATAAAGCGGGAAGAAATAATCAGTACATACCGACTGTCTCGAAATTCCAAATAATAAGACCTTCCTTCATGACTTGTGATTACACACTGTATCACTTGTCCTACGGGAATTTTTATCTGCCAAGTACATAAACAAAAATCCCTCTGAGTTCGAACTAATTACCAAACAGAAGCGGAACAGACAAAGCCCTTTGAACGAAATCTGGCAAACGAACATTCAACGAAAGAAGCACCCTCTAAAATAATAGACATGTCAAATACGATGTCACTAAGAAGCCTAGCTCCGATCTGAGAGACTTCGTACGTGACATGTCTGTTATTTCATAGAGCTGTTGTTCCAGGTGTATACAGGATATTACTCAATGACATTTAATCTATTATGTTGAACAACACACAAGCGGCCAGGGTATGTCACATACCGCAACATCTGGCGAATACTTGTCACTAACGATCACTCTTCGGTTGGCATTGTTACGTCTGAGTTCATAATTAGAGCGTTTCAATGTCAAGGAAATGTTCTCCTCCGGCTGTCCACCGTCAACCTGCTTCACATCCACCCCGTTATTTGCAGCATTATATTAGTACTATGATTAGAATGATTCATCCGAACTATCCATCAGAAAATTATCGCCTCTGCATGACCTCAAGAGAGAAGGCAATGTCCACTGAGATTGAACAGTTCTGTCCTAGATTAAGATAACACACTATCATGATATTAGAAACTGGATCGGTAGTAAACATCAAAATCTCGAACTTAAGTTTTAAACAAGATATAACAGGATGCCGAAAATCTCATAAACATCCATCCTACCAGTAACTGGACTTCAAAAGTTGCATGCCCAGCAGTACTGTAATTATCAATCTGGTCTTGCATGTTAGCATCTGCAACAGATACCAACATGACGCAACTGTGAGAGGACTTCTGCCGCAACAATACCCTACTTTGGCATAAACTTCAGGCAGCGAAGTAAAGAAACTACAAAAGGCTTTAGTGAGTAGCATGCTACGGAAGGCAACTACTCATTCATAAAATCCTATTCGTCGAGGGCCGTGATATCAATAGCCCAGAGTACGTGCTTACAAGAAAAGAAGAGAACGAACATTCAAAAAATTGGCAGGAAACTGACCACAATTGATCCATCTAGAATCATTTGCGAAGACAGTCACCAAGTCGCCCTGCGTGCATGCACGATGTAACATGAGAAGAAGAGGTTCACAACCCAAGGTGTTTGATCAACTCACAGAGACAAATTAGCTACTGAAGAGTCTGGACTGGTGCGACTGAAATATTGACAACGGTTTCAAAAACGAAAGACTGGGAAATGGTATTAAACTGTAACAACATTCCAAAAGAACAGGGTCTGTCTTTCCGGCTTAAATGTTTGCAACCACGGCTTTCATGCTGAGTACAAAATCTTACTACCATACCCGTCTATTCCGTTCGTCCATAGGCACACACTCGACGGCTATCATGGTTTCACAGTCGTCCGCTGTTATAGTATACTCAGGCTGTGCTGCACCTGCATATCATATTCAGAAAAGTTAAGATCAGCTGCATTTCTAACGCGGGTATAACTCAGGAGAAAGCACAGAAAGGACGCGCAATGGGGAGAAGTCGAAAGACAGCAGTGAAGAGCCAAAAGTCGTCTTCGTTCACGATTCAGATTTCGAAGGCCCTAAAGCAAAGAGAAACACAAGCAAGGAAGCGCTGATACCTTCAATATACGTTGTATTCCCATTCTGATAATGCCGTACCCACTGAAAAGAAAGAAAAGTAATCAGGCGAAGCAGGTTAAAAGAGGAGGTCAAGTTACAGATAGTGAAAGTTCATTTCTGAAAAACCTAACCACTCCTTCCGAAGTAACCACTCGACCGCGCACTATCCCGATCCATGTTAAGCGCAGATTATTTTCTTGATATTTCCTAAAACTCTCATCAGAAAGCCAAACAACTATTGGAAGAGGGTCAAAACCAGCGGGGTGATGTTACTTCCTCAACGTAAAGTCCGAAACATCTGAAAAACTGCATGCAGGTGCACATGCGTTGTTCTACTTTGAAGAGCTGTGCTTAATAGTGACTCGTTACTTAATAGTAACAAATCACTGTACCAGGATTTAGTTCATGAAGACAATTAGACGAAATATTTCTTTATACCTGAAACATACACAAAGCTGTGCCGTTTATCGAATGCCCGCAAGCGGTGAGTCTACCGCCGAGCACAGCATGCCCAACGATTTGCAAACCCTGTATTGCTGGTAGAGGGTCGCCATCTGTCGTAATTAATCCACAGGAGAAGAACAAGGGCCACCGTCAGTTCCAATCGCACAACCCAAGATGTTAAGAGTTGAATTACTAGTGTTATATTTATGAACGTATATCACATAGAAGTCCAGCAATACCATCCGAGCTAGGTTCTTCTGCCACCGTAGGCATATGCGGGGAGCGAGGCGAGCGTGGAGCCGGATCCGATCCATCAGCCTCCTTTTTCTCTAGATTTAGTGCAGAACCATTGCTCAAACCTTCATCTCCATCTGACGAATCGTTATTCCTTGAAAAGTGTTGCAGATTTGTTCCTTGGGGCGATCCAGGTGTTACAAGCGGCCTGGAATAACGGCAAACAAACGATCTCATTTGTCAGATATGCCAGACTATAAATCTCGCGGCAGCTCCTCTTCAGATCAAGTTGAATTGGGCTACGAAATCAAACACAGAGATCACCGCAAGTAATCACGTCACCAGGTTATGAAGTTAGTACCTCTCTTTCAGCTCAAAAATCCACATAATCCTCTACGCACGTGAAATGACGAGTTCTCGCAGCAGGAGTACTTACTCTTGTCCGGCGGCTTGACCATGATCATTAGGCATGCCTGGGAACTGCGAGGAAGTTCCAGAATCCCAATTATTCGCATGATGCAGTGGTGATGGTGGTGATGAGGGCATCTGTTGGTGTACGTAAGCTTGTTGAGGAACAATCTCCAGACCATGCAGTTTCTGAGCCTATCACAATACGCATGCATCAAAACGACTCAGCACGCGGTTCCAAATTGTCTAAAATTTGATCAACGTAAAGTTCAACATTCATAAAACCGTGTCAAACAAGAGTCTTCGTGAATCAACTCCAGTCTAGAAAAGCAAAATATGAAAAAAAAAAAAACAGCTTAAAATAACGTCACATCTTTCAAACAAACAGACATCTATTCACGTACTCCGCGGGGTGGCGACTGCTGGGGATACTGCCCAGCCGCGTGGTACGAAGGATCTGCCCGCCATTGCTGCCGAAACAGTGGCTCTTTGTTCTTGCCCTGCATCTACACGCGCGATCCAGTTGGTTGGCGTCAGTACTATACAATGTCATTGTACATCACCAAAGATGTATTGTCATAATTCTTGCAGGCAATTCCAAAGGATTTCAGCGTTTTTCTTGTAGTATACCTCGGAAAGGCTCAGTTCGGAACGTAGATGTTGCACCAAAATCTGCACAAAACCAGCCCAGTACGATTACAATTTATATTTTCCATTTACCTTGAGAGGAGAATATATGAGAAAATATTCTGTGGCGATAACGTGTACAAAAATTTCTTCGAAAATAGACAAGAAGAACAAAATAGAACATTAGAGTCTACTGAAAACATGTAACACTCAGATTGCAAAGTTCACAAAATCTTTTCAATATCATACAGCCCTTCAAGATCGATATCATGCAAGTTTTCTAGATTACACCCCCAGCACATCTATCGACAGATCAGAATCAGGCACATGAATAAGTTACATTGCATTGGCAAAAAGCTTTGTTTGAAGTACCTTTATCGCGCTGACCATTGAATGTGCATCATGTGTAGTTGGTTGTAGATCAAACTCCGCTAGCAAAGGCAGTAACAACGATACATACACAGATCGCTCATTATCTGCAGCCTGCATGGTGAAAGATCTCAGAACACGTTATCGCACGAAGATGAATTCACAAGGAAACAGTACTCGTCTGAGCATACATCAAGAAGAAGATTATCGCGAATGATTTACATTTTGGATTCGAATAGCAACCACACGCCAAACCGTAATTGAAGCTCTTTGGTTAAACGGAAATGGAAGGTTGAAGGTGGTTTTGACGCTTACTTGAAGAGCATAAGTAAGGCGAATATTCTCTTCCAGAACATCTTGACGGTAAGAAAGTGCCTTTGAAGCTGCATCAACGAGTCCTTGTTGTTGCTGGTCATAAGCCTATGATCATTGTCATGAAAAGGGAAAGCAAACAAAAGTTACGGAAGGCCGATGACGAGCAATTCAATGCATAGAATCGCCTTTTTCCAGTTGTGGTGATAAATAGAAACTAAAAACATCTTGACTGATCCACCTAACACGAATATGAACATAGAAGAGTATAACCGCAATCGTGAAAACGTACATATAACACCATGAGCCAATTGACGGCAAAGAAGTATATAAGGCAACAACATACAATAATACAAACGCAGGGATCGGGAACCATATCCGTTAACCACAGCTAATTATTGGGCCGGAACAGTCTGAACCGTCATTAATTGTTAGAAAAACGATAAGGCATTTCTTAGTTAAATTTGAGCAAAAGCGTCAACGAGATTCTCCCAAATAGGAGCCAATCTACCAATACGAGAAGAAGTTACGTGACAAGTACTTACCAGGCGCAATTCCGCCACTCGCCGCTCCAATATCCGCTTTTCACTGAGCATCTGAGCGTCCTATATGCGCAAAACCGATAAGTTTGATAGCTCAGTGGCAAAAGAACGGCGTTCAAATCCTCAAAAAGAATATATCAACTTTCCCAAACGTTTCTTCGATCATCCTTCAATGACGTGATCTTCAGAAGCCATCGCAAAGGTTTAGCTCGCAAATACTATACTATTTAAGTAAGTGAGAGAATACGGGTTAGGGTATGACAGATAGCTGAAAACTTAATCCCTCAATAATATTAATGTGTGTGTTTTATGTGCTGTCTCTCCAGATACCCTATTATCGAAGGAGAATCTCCAACACCTATGTTTGATAATGCCAGAAGGCAGCATTTTCTTACCTTGATAGCAGCTTCAGTGAGACGCTTGTGCAGTATCATGTTTTCCTCCTCTAGAGATCTGGCGTTTCTCAACGTCATCTCCTGAGTAAACGATCAAATCAGTTTCGATCAGCTCCTAACTTTGAAAAAATAATACTGGTTCGTTTTATTTTTGGTGCTCACTAAGACAATTACATCAAAGATGTCAGGATCAACCAATGTTCATCCAGAAGGGGCGGAATAACACCATAAACACCAACACATAGCTCCCCGAGTGAAACCATGGTAGAAATCAGAGGCCTACCGGCTGTGCTCAGATTCTCTCAGATTAAGATAACTTACTTGTTGGTTGTGGTGGTAGGTATTGTGATTAGCATTCATGTCTGCCGCATGCTGAGGCATTCCCTGAGCTCCCTGTTGATTTCTTGCGTCTAACTCAGACTCTCGTCTTCGCCTGGCCAGAGACAACAGAAAAAGTACTTGCTGAATGAGGGTTCAGGTCTGCAAAGAATCAGAACGTACACCATAGGTACCAATGAGTTTTCGATGGACTTACTGGTTGGGGGACATGGATCGAGAGGATGGCGACGAGACAGTGCTGTTGGTCTCCACCAGTGGTGGCAAATGGGGATGCCCGCGATGATGGCCTTTGGATGAACCGTTGACCCCATTGCTGCTGCTAACTTGATGACCATTTGTCCCGTTGGAAGGGGGACCGTGCGTCCCACCATTTGGAAAGCTCATCGGCGTACCTGCTGTAGGATGAACTATTATGGAGCCCTGCTGATCGTCATGCATCCCTCCAACCGCATGCCCGTCTCTACTGTGGACGGTCCTTCCACCGGTTGGGCCATGGCCATGTCTATCGCCTTGGGGAAGAGAACCCGGTCTTTGCGCACTTTGCCTAGACTGGTAAGAATCGTGCGAACGATCCTCAAGTGCCCGTGGTGGTCCAAGTTGTTCCATTTTCTGCCGAGGTTATCAGAAGGCATACCAAATTTCGAATTTGTGAATCACCTGACGCCTAAAGTATAAAACTCGATCGAGACTTGTTCAAGTCGACAACACCCATGTTGTTTGATGCGATTTTGATAAAGGCACAAGTTCTCCTACATCTCATCTATAGGTAAAGTTCAGACTTCAACAAGCTCCGATCACTCCAGTTCCTGCCCCTCGACGTCACTCGCAAGCAGAAACCTGAAACACGACTTATACCATACTCTCGTCTGTACGTAGACAGAGGACACGAACCTTGAGCCACATACGAACCACATACAAATCACGAAAAACCACTCACACTATTTTGTAGTTCCCACTCGGTAACCCGGAGAGCAGATCTCAGGTGCTCATTCTCCTCCATCTACAAAAACGAGAAAGATATCCCAAATTCAGGTCTGGGGTATGAACTGAGATAACTGTATACACATCCAGAGATTCCATTGCTTCCGCCCGCTGCGAGAGCGATCCTGTAACGATATAAGCTCAAAAGCCGGACATTGTACACCGATACAAATATACAGAATGTCAGATACTGCAACGGACAGCCCTCGTCAGGCTTCCAGAGCAGTCTCAGCTGAGAGATGAGGCTGGTTTGCAGCAGGATAGTCATTCACAAGCACCGCTATAGGAGGTGGTAGACAGCGGTGAGGCGATTCAGATACAGTTCAAACACTGAATGGTGTGCTTAAGGGCTTCGGATGGTTGCAGCAAACAGCTACATATCTGATTGCGGCCTCAAGCGTAGGGTTTATAGGTAAGCAAGGACGTTCTCGTGAAGGTCTCGCAGGTACTACACGTATCAAAGACCGCACTTAAAGCTTTGACAATAGATCGCGTACTTAATTTGCTTCCGCCTGATATCGCTCCGCTGTAATTTTGGAGCCTACGGCCTTCTATCTCGATGTGATGCCTTGGTCGCTGACATCTTCGAGAATCGTTCATGACACGCACCGACATCAATGCTTAACAGAGTAACGATTTCCCAAGAAATGCATGGCTCTTGTGGAAGCTTACTTGGTTACGGATAGCAGACTCTGCAGCCTCTATCACTTGAACAAGCTCCTTCACCTGGCGTTGCCGGGGAATAACAAGGGAAGAGTTCGCTTGTGGCTGCGCCAATTCCAAAGCTTCCATTTTTTCACTCAGATCCATCTCTCCCGCTATGTCTCCGGTTAAATGACTTGCACTTGGCGGAAAGAACGGCTTGTCGTCAATTGCGGTTCTCGCATGTCTTCTCTCAAACAAAGGGGATACAGCCACCTTTGACAGACGCGTTTCACCAAACTGCCTACCCAATTCCGCCGGCGTAGCAGTGAATGCCATGGCTCTTTCCCTGTTCTAGCTCATATGAGACAGAATGTTGGTAGCTGAGACAACTCTTCCACACTCAGCCTCTACGAAGTACCCGGTTAATCACTGGCTTCTCTCTCGAACACGGGCCAGGTTGACAATCTGTAGTCCTAAGGACTCCATCCACAAACACCCATAGCCCAATGCGGACAGGCTTCGTAATGACGCGAATAAATCCAGAATTTACGATCCGATCGTCTTCTTTCGTCTCTTTCCTTTTTTCTCTTTTCCTTTTCTCTTTTTCACAAATACTAGTCCGAAAATGTAGTGACCAATTTTCAGTCGCCTTACTCGTGCTCGATCCTGGAGCCACCGTGTTCTCGCTCGAAAAGGAGTGTGAAAGTGGTGGTGGTGGTGGTTCTGCCCATAACAGATGTATGTGACAAAGTGCGAGTGGCTTACGTGGGAGGTCTGTGTCCTACTACGACATGGCTGGACTAGGAACTCGTGCGAAACTAGAAGCTGCAACTGCTGTCGGAATCATGGCTGAAGTAGCAGAGGACAGGGGTGTGGTGTGGTGTGGTGTGTAGTGTGGATAGATAGATAGATACCGTGTGGCATTCACCTAATCCTCGAGAGAAACAGTGACTCGGACAAGGGGAGACCTCCGACACAATTAATCTAACATGCACTCTCCACGCAAAGCCTCTCCACGAAATTGTGCGAGCTGCACTGACTCTCTAAGACCTAATCTCACCTCTCGTGAATGTGATACAGGAACACCATGATAAGAATGGCGTCCATCACCATCAACACCCACCAGAGGTAAGGACTAAAAATCACAAGTCCACCGAAAATCACTCGTAATCAATCGGCAACAAACCTCGAAACAGGCCCGACGGAAGGGGGCAGGATCAGATCACGCCCTACAAAGCTCCGTCACGCCGGAGCCAGCGACGGCAAACTACGGCCTGCCTCAAAGTCCCGCTCTAAACCAGACCACATCTTCCGTTCCTCTCATCCGCAATACGCCGACCAATTCCCCCCGATCGACTTCCGCCAGCTCCTCCGCCTACCTCGAATTCTCCGACAGGAAACCTACTCCTACGTCCATAATTTTTCCTTCTCCGCCCTCTCCCCCACGCCCCCCCTCCTTCAACAGCTGGTAAAATCTCCAAACAAGTCCTAACCCTCAGACGCTCTGCTCTTCCCACCCGTCCTCCTCCTCCTCCTCCTCCTCCTCCTACCCACTATTCTCACAGAGCTTCACAGACAGTCAAACATATAATCCGTAGCTGCCCCTCCTCTGCCCTGACTGGATCAAGCTCCTGTTCGGCATCCCTCTCTCACCCTCGCCTCGGGCAGTACTCGTCGTCGTCCTCCTCCTGCTGCTGCTGCTGCGAGTCCAGTCCGATGGCACAAATCCACTGCTACGACACACACTTAAAACTACGCTGCCCTCTGCGCTCGTGGGATCACGGCCTCCCTCTGCTGTCCTGCAGCCGCGGCTGAGCAACGAGCCGCGACTCGTTGCTTTCTTCGAGAGAAAGCGTACCCTCCCCTGCCCGCTGCTGCTGCCATGATCCTCCGCTCGCGCTCTCTCTCTCTCTCTCTCGCTCTCTCTCTACTCGACTCAATGAATGCCAGCCATCGTCACCGCTCTCCTGCAAGTCAAAGCCTGGCGCTGCCTGCCTGCCTGCCGAACCCGGACATCTCCGGCGGCCTCCCCGTGCCACCGGCCACCACCCGTCGTCCGCCCTCCCCCGGGGCCCGCGGCTCTTTCTCCAGGCGCCACTGCAGCGCGGCCATGCCGGTCGCGGACCCGGTGGTCGTCCTCGGGGTGGGCGACACCCTCGCCACCTGACGCTGCCCGTCCTCCGTCGCCAGCCAGAACCGGTAAAGCGGCCACTTCCGTCTGTGTATCCCAACGAATTCTATGATGCTCGATGTTGCGCACAGCCACCGCCGCCCGCCCTCCGATGGAGATCGACGGACGGAGTTCGGCTCTCGTCCAAGTGTATCCCGCTGGCAAAAGCGTCAGAGCTTCTGCTTTTGCGTCCTTTCTTGTCCCGAAGCGGAAAGTGGGACTCACACGTCTCGATGCTATCCGCGGCGGTAACTCTCTCGGATTCACGGTTTGCGGTTTACGTCCTGGTCTCCGGTGACTCTCTATCCTGCATGCGGACAGGCAGCCAACCGATAGGCTGTCCACGCCGACCGAGTTCCACACTGGATGCCATCTCATCGTCCAAACGGGGCAACGGCAGCGCACGGTCCGGACTTCCAGTCGGTCGTGCCACGGCGATGACACCCGCGTATTCCCCCAGCTCCGGTCATGCGAGTAACCCGAGTTAATCCCTCCTGACTGGATCTGCACTCTGAATTGAATTATTATTTTTGTCATGTGAGTCGTATCCTTCAGTTTCCATAGAATAATACGAGCCCTGGCTGTGCGACGTCATCGTCGTAAGATGATATAATTCGATATGTTCACTGACCGCTGGATAAGGTTATCGAAGGCAGTCGAAGAGGTGGAGCTCGATTTGCAAGAATGAGTTGTGGTCTGCGACACCAATTTGTGGCACATGGAAGAAGTCAATGCAGAGGAACTCTTCGCGGGCTCGGTCTCCACTTTTGTTGAAGGAATTTGTTGGAGCTTCTTTGGGCAGGGCTGTTGTTGGACCTATTGGCGCCGTAGCTCCTTCACTGGATCATGTAGCTCGCTTTGAGACCACATCCACATGCACATAGTGCGAACACATGTTCGGTTCTTTTCGATTGATAATCCAGAGTCCGTTTCTAAATCTTTGACTCAACCACGTGTCTCCTGAGCCGGTATCTCATGACAGTCAAATCCCACATGCCTTTCCAACATTCTCTGATTGTAAACGGGCTGAAACCAGCACATGACGAGCGCGGTGGTACAAAGGTTTTAGGACAGACTTGTCTCGCAGGAAATGTCGTCCCATTCTTTCGGCTATACTTCTCGGTGCACATTTACTACTTTGGGACAGACAAATAAAGCATGCTTACTTTCGAAATGAGCCAATGAGGGACTGATTATCACACCATCAGTTAGAGGCGAAGCAAAGCAGCAACGCTTGGCACGAAAGTGGGCCGAACGTCTGAATCATTTGACGCTTTAAAGGCTTAAGGCGCATTGTCAGTGCATCGCGCGAGATTTTTTTGCTCCAATAATCATACCTGCACATTGCACTGGATTTTATGCTCTTTCGTCACAGATTCTGGACCACTCCGGTGCCTCAAACCCGATCAAATGATCGAAGCGGGCCAAGCAATCCGTGATCCAATGATGCTCCTCGTATTCCAGCGCATCCGACACTGCAACCCGAGACACCAGACCACATCGTCTCACAAACGAAGGCTCGGAGAATGGAACTCGAATCTCGATGCTCTGCACGCTTTGGACCATTCGGTCTAATTTCCTGTCCAATGACTGACGGACCTTCGACAGGATGGGATAACCGGCGCTCTGGGTTACCAGCACTCTCATGGTCGTCCAGCTGCACCTGGGAAAGGTGCAACAGGACGACCTTTCGCGGCACCGATAGATCCAGCAGCCACCTTTTACCCTCTGAGTAATCCAGGTTCCGGCATCTGGCACGACCTTTTTGTACCCGTCATCACCGGTGGCCTGCTAGAGGCCCAGTAGAAGTCCCGGCTGTACACCAGCTATAGCTCACCTGTTATCTTCGGATACACACTGGTCATGACCGGTAATTATGTTCACCTGCGGCAACTGCTGGCCAATAATGAACGACGTAAATGCGAGGCGGATGATGCGCTTACTTGAACCGCATGTTCTGCTCTGTACTGCGTTCCAATATCCACCTCGAGGCAAAGGATAAGCGTAATTACCCAGTCCTCGGTCCCGGATCATTATGCTCTCTTGACCGTCGTCCAGGAGCATCGGGTCCCATAGAGCAGGAAAATGCTCTCGTATCGGAGGTCCGTCCGTGATGAGGGCTCATAGATTCGCCCTGATCATGTCTCAATATCCAAATTATACACTTATCCAAATTCCCTCAATGAGTATACTTTGGTCCTCACTTTGAATGTAGTCAACATCATGAAAGCTTCGTAACCCCGGGTCAAATTATGTGACATTAGATTTTCTACAGTTTGAAGATTAAATCATTACTGGAGGTGAAAGAGAATCCTTCGCAATGAGTGTGCTTCAATTAATCTTAGGAATAATGTATTACCAAGAAAATTATATTGCAAATTCATAAGAGAAAAATGGTGAGTAATGTGAGTAAGAGTCAAAATGTAACCTAGGGCGAAAGAAGTAGCAAAAAATAAGAAAATTAATAATACCGGTAGTTGAAATTGGACTAAGGAGTGCGGAACAGAGTTCTCGATCTAGCTAATAATGCGAGAGCCGCGTATGTAAATCTGCGTAGAAGAGACCAGCATCGCCTGTTCTACTACTGCATTTGGCTACCGGATGAGAGATTCGTGTGACCGGAGAGGACGTCATTGCATCAATAAGGAACATGGTGAAGAGATTCCAAGTGAAGACTTTTCATAAGCTTCCGCCGAGTCCCTCCTCTGCCTCAAAGCTTGCAATAACTGTAGTCTTCGTAAGACCGAACCAGCTTTACCAAAAGCCCCAAACCAAAGAACAAAATGCAGAATCGAGCCTTGTGTGCCGAAAGGAAATACGGAATTTTCATGCAAGAGCATGCACTCGCCAAGTACCGGAAATTAATCTGATCGAACACCATATGGAAGTACGTTAGTAGTTTGCCAATTGGGCTTTTTCCAGGTACTGTACTCGTATCGTTGCTTCCGATACGTCCCATGTCCTCGTCGAGTAAAGTCTCAGAAGAAGCAGAATCTGGTGCTCGAACAGCGAAGGCCGTCCCCAGCCCAGCCACTCGGCCCTCACTTACCATCGGAACCTGCGTACAAAGCGTGGTCAGATTCAACGTCGTGAACCTTTCCCGGAATAGAGAAGGCTGAATGACCGAGCTCCGTCCGAAGACAAGAGCCGGCCCCCAGGAGGGGAACGCTGGCTCCCGTGATCCAGGTGCACTGAGCTAAATTGGAACCAGAATAGACACAAGAATGGTCATACCACTTCACGCCTCGTTGCTCCGAGGTTTTCTCGTGTCAGGGAAGTACTACGAATCTGCCCATTTTAACACCAACTTCTCGGATTTCCAGCACTGGGGCCAAAATGTGGATCTGCAGTGCCGAGAAGACAAGATACTGCACTGCCCGTAATGCATGGCCAGTGCTGTACTGTATTGTCCTGTCCGGGACTGTAGTGCGAGGGGAAAGAGTGTGTGGATCGGGAACACAACGTCGCAAGCTTTACGGAGCCCAAAACGACAGCTGAGGCCCAGAGTAAGACAAAGATTTCTCGTGCTATAAACAGATGTAGCGTCGGGAACAACCTACCGATGCGAAAGCTCAATTCCCATTGGTGGCATGGTCAGATCATTTTCGCGAACCTTGGCTCCACTTCCGCTCTCTGGTCTCTGGCTGGCCTCTTCTACCCTCCATGGAAATCTCTCTCTCCCTCCCTCCCTCCTTCCCTCCCTCCACGCCATACTCTTCGCGTCTGGTGAAATCCCTCTCGTCTTGCAACTTCTGCAGCTTCCGGCTTTGGCGAAGGTGAGGTCCATTTATCCGTCTAAGCGAAATCCTGCTCTGCTGCGTTCATGCTGCGTTCCCGTGATTGATTCTCCGACCGGAGAATAAGTGTACAGTTCTTTCATTTTGCAACAACTCAGCTGTTTGAGAGTGTTGCGGCTGTTCATTCCCTTCATGCATCTTCTGTAAGTGCAGACGATCAGTGCAGCAGCAAAGTGGGAGGATCGGTGACGGAAAATTCTTGAGTGTGAAAAACTCGTCTGCATCTCGTCATTATCTCTTCTTCTTCTTCTTCTTCCTCCTCCTTCTCTTGCTTGCATGGAGGACGGTACTCGATTCGCATTTCCACTTCTCCTCTGCATATTCAGCTCAGAAAATCAATATAGGTTCGTTAAGAATGCGTTTCAATATTTACGAATGTTTGTTTTCTAATAGCATTATCTTGTTTCGTATTTCTGCTCACATAGGAGTAAGGGTATGAACGCGCCGAAGGTCCAAGATGGGTCTCCTGGGTGAGAGAAAAAGACAAGACATTAACACTTGCTTTGTTACAGGTTTGGATATACACGAATTGACAAGAGATCTACGAACTGTTCAACAAGTATGTGTAAGACAACAAGTAGCTGAACTGTATCTTGCAACATTCAGGATCATTTCACATGGATTTTTTTTTAGTGGATCGAGAGACATACTCCTGCGGCGGGTAAATGACTACAAGTCTAGTCACACAGATATCGGTGTGCAAGAATGTTCAAAATTTTCGATTTTATTCCAGGAATTACCTTTTTTCGAAAAATGACACTTTGGAGAATAATTCCATCGTTACGATCGCATCCTTAATAGACATAAAATCGGTCGGTTCTAGTTCCAAGAAAACTCCAAATTTGGGTGCTATTTGCAGCCTCACTTTTTTGACATCGTCGGCTACATAAGTTGAGAACTTGTCATCACCTTCAACCAGCACACCTATGTTGACAATCCACTAGAAGGATGACGAGAGAGGAAAGGACAGAGAGAAAGCGGTTCCGGAACGAAAGGTTGAAAGGATCTTCAAATTAATCATGAAATATCGATACATAGAAGTTGATTCTCAGCTTCGTTTTGTCATCTCCTTGAGCTAACAAACCTATGCTGTTCACCTATTCGAGGCAACATTTCTTGAACGAAGAGAAAGCGCTGAAGATGAGAAGGGATGAGGTTTTCGACACATGTTAACACCGGGTATAATGTGTCCCATGTACCGACGTCACCAGCGCTCAAACGTTGCTTGTCCTGGCACTCCAGACGATCAAGATGGCATGATCGTCAAGTTTCAAATTCACTTTCCATATTCGGACAATCGAAACTTTGAGATATGATGAATGTGAATGGGACTGGGACGGTACTTCGCCAACAAAGAGATCCCCGGTCCGTCCAGTTTATTCACGGAACAAGGGAATGGAAGAAACAACGTCAATGGGAGTTGTACAAGGGATCAATTGTAAACCTCATTGTAAAAATTACTTGTATGCATTGTACATGTGTATGTAGATGAGGTTTACAAATGATAACTATATTAATCCTTGTTACCATTCTCTATGGAGAGATTTAAAGTTGAATATTTTTACTCAATTGAATGTTGTCATCACAAATCTTGTTTCTAGCCTGTATGGACGGATTAAGAGCCGAATGAAGCTTTTGACTACATTGAAGGTTGTCATCCAGCTATCACGCGGTTTGTTCTTTACGCCAGAGAGATCAGTTTCATTTATTTAATAATGTACATTCACCACCGACTGTTACTCTCTTTTGCTATCCTTCTCTTTGTTCTTACAAGAGCACCACTATCCACCCACAGCAGTGAGACAACAGTTCAGCATCGATCGAGTTCATTCGCGAGGTTTCAATATCTGCGGTCGAAGTGAGCCCCACAGCCCCCACCACAGGACGACCATTGAGTAAGTATAGAAAGTTGATGGCAAAGTGGGGGCCCGAGAGTCCCAAATGCAGACTGAACAATGCTTTCCTTGTGCAGTCCAGCAAGAGTATATGCCATCAGATGTGTCCAAAACTTATCCCCGCCAGTTGTAGGTAACGACGGTATTCGTAAAAGTGAATAGTTCATTCATGGTTTATAATCAGTCTTAGGAACATTGTTTCTATGATTCTTAGGAATGAGCAGGCAGCAAACAATCGTTATAAACTAATCAAAAATCACTTCAAAGAGGCAGCAAAGAGGTCCAAGTGGCCAAAATATCTCAGATACTGAATATCCAATTGTAATTGAACCAGCTGGACTAGATCCAAGTGGTCACAGAATTTGGTTCTTCTAGTCTTGATAAAAAACGCGGAAAATAATTTTTCAAATCTTTTACTGAAAGTAGTGACAGTGATCTATAGGTGGTTTCTTGTGAAGAAACAATATTCCAACATCAATTGTACTTTATCCTTGATTGAAGCCAATTTTTATATTTTATAAGGAAAATTGACACAACTTCCAAGGGAAAATAGACATATATAAAACGAAAACGAAAACTCGAGTGCGATTTAAAGTCAAATATTTTCCTTATATGACAAAAAATGTTTGTCATATTACTCAAACAAGAAACGACACAAACGGACCTTCATGAGACAAATGCTCTTCTAGTTACCTGTTTGGTTTCATCCCTCTTCATAATTCTTCCCATCCTTACTGCTTCATTACTTGTTCCCACTTTCTCAAAAGAAGAGCCTTTTTTCGAGGTAGACGAGCGCATACTGTATGTTATGGGGTCTACTACAGTACTGTGATGTACAGGGTCCACTACTGTACTGTAATGGACTGCTCACAAGAACGGATGGACATCGCAGTCAAGCAGATCGTGGGTGGTGGTGACCGGCTGGTTCGGGTCAAGACTCAGGTCGCACATGCACAGAGGGTGGCAACTGTACTAGAACCGGTCGTCTCGGCTGTCCCATATAGGCTGTATGAGGCGAATGGGGATGTCTGATGTACGTGATCATCATACTACTCATCATCAAACTCATGACCTCTTCGTGCTATCCTTGAACCTGCAGCTTCACTAAAATTTAAAAGTATACCGTTTGTGACAATTCTTAAATAAATGTAGGGTCGACTCGATTAATAGGTTTACTGGATTGGCATCATTTCTAAAGTAGATAAATGTTATCTCAATAATAGCTTAGCATCTCTACTTACAAACCTGTAATAATGTTAAGCTTGTATTTACTTCAGTAGTAAAATCGCATCTTTAAAACGTCAGATGGGCTACCATTGAAGTTCTCTACGGAACTCGGCCTGTGACTGTCTCAAAGTTTAGAGCTCTTGCCTCTCTAAGCACCTTAGCTATATACAGGCGTTAGATCTTGCTCACAACCTCTGTTCAAACACTCTTCAAAAGATGTGGTTACTGGCTAAGTGGTTTACAACTAATTGGAGGATTAGCTGATGGTACAGTGACTATCTTTATTTTCTGCTATGTTTAATGAATGAAATAGCTCTCAACCAATCCAATAAAGATGAAAAATCTACTCAAAAAAAGGGGCAAAAAGAATACGAAACAGAAGACTATTAAGACTATCCAATCAAACAATATAGAAATTAGCAGAATGAAACATAGATTTCTTCAGCTACTTATTAGGTTTATGGTACTGCTTCATGACTCATATCCAACGTAAAATAGACATGACATTGAATAACTCGAGTCTTGTTTATTTTTAATTCGATTCAATTTAATTTAGCCTTGCATTTACTACATAAGAGAACTGGCAGTTGCTTTTTTCCAACACAAAACCAAGGTAGTTGATAAAGCTTTTTGCTCTTGTGGACTTAACCTCACTTACGTGAGACATATACTTGTGGTGTTTGCATTACCTCATGAAGAGTTTTTTGTCATTAATTACTTTATTACTTACTCATCTGTAAAACATTCTCCTAGCAGAATATATTTTACTAGCATGAAAACAAAGATTGAAACATACTTCAAATTTGAGTTTTTAAGTTCCTATTTTTTCATATAGTAATTTGACATTTTCTTGACTAATATTCGATGTAAAGCATTTCTAGATACTGCTGCGCCAACACATTGTGGATAACACGGATCATGATGGAGAGAGAGAGAGAGAGTCTTCCCTTCAGCTATTCATTAGTTAAAGATTCTGCACCAAAAAATATGTTTTACCACCAAGAGTGAGCTAAGAGTAAATTTGTGGACAAAGATATTTTGTAATCAATTCAGGACTTAAAATCATTATATCTAAATTTTGCCCCATCTTACCGTGCTCAGGTAAATAAATCTTCTTTGCGATCAAAATATTCCTTCAAGTATAACCTTTGAGTATTACATGGTAGTACACCCTAACCTTGATAATGTCACACTTGTTAATAGAACACCTTGATATTGTCACGTAAAAGTTCAAAACCGATTTCCTTAGTGTAAAATTCACTCTTTAATATCACTATCACCCTTGATAATGTCATTATTTTTTTGCAAAATTTCTAGTTTAAGTGTGATAATATCAAATATGAATGGATTATATGTGACAGTTGGACGTGTAGTATCATGAATCTCCCTTGTGATTCAGTAAATGAAATGCTACTTGCTTGTATGTGGACGAGTGGTTCCAGCTGCAAGGAAGATGATTTTGCGATCGGCTACTGTGGATAGAGGGTTCGAGCTGAGAGGAAGATTATTGGTTCTCATAAGAGTCTCAACTTGCATAGGCGCCATAGTAATATGGGTTACTCGGGAGCAGCAAGTTTCAATCGGGGACAGGTGGGCTGCCAAAGCTAGGACGCCCTGAGAGAGCAGAAGGCACTACAGTATCTTGTGGTGGCTCTGGTTTGGAAGATTTAATTGTTCAGCCCGCCTAGTGGCATTTATTCCTTTTTTGCTTGTAAGCTTCAGGTTGTTAATTCTCGCTGGCTAGTGTTGACATTCTTGAGACGTTTGTCACAATAACAATTTTTTGTAATACTCGAAGGCTTTTTGCTTTAGATAGATTCGACCATTAACTGGTTCAACGACAATAGTGCATAAAAATAGACAAG